GCCTCTGTGTGCCAAATGGGGAAACTGAGGCAGACAGGGCTCCACAGCCCTCCTGAGGATGGCCGAGGGGCCGCAGGAGCCTGAGGGCCCCTGGGCCCTGTGCCGGGCTGATGCGCCGGCCCCTCCGTGGCCCATCTCCTGGGAAGCAGGGCTCTGGGCTCCACACAGCTGCGGGAGCCCATGTCCACACACCTGCCTCCGCCCTGCACCTCTGGTCCTTCTGTCTCAGGGTCCTCCCCCACTTTCTGCTGGTTGAGGCGCCGCTGGCACTGCCACCCCCTTGCTTTCTGTGGCAAAGGGGAGCCCCTCGCCCCCGTGTCTGCACCAGGCTGAGAAATGGCCAGGCCCATTGTGGCGCAGAGCTGAATGGCCGGCAGACGGGGGCCGCCGCGCCCCAGGGAGAGGCCGGCTCCGGAGGCCATTGTGGAAACCCTCGGCCGCCACCGTCTTGCAGTAATCAATCTGATGGGATTAGGGTCAGGGCGACCCTAATCGTGTCAGAGGTCATGCAGCCTTTGTGGCTGGCCCACAGGACGCCTGGCCACCCCTGCTGAGGTGGCCTCGCCGACAGAGCTCAGCAATGCCTGCAGCCGGGGTGTCTGCGGCCAGGGTGCCTGCTCCTGTGAGCGCTGAGCCCCCCCGGAGCCCTGAGCACCTCAGGGTGCAGGGTGGAGCCTCTGAAGGAGCACTCGTGCTCACAGCTCCCCTCCAACTCCCTCCCCATCTGCCAGGCTGGGGCTGGGGGCGCAGGTGGTGCACCCCAGCAGCCAGCTCTTGGGGCTGGGCACTGAGTGCCTGCTCCCCGGACCTGCTCTGGCGACGGGGAAGCATGAGAGGAATTTTGAGTGGAGGAGGAGGCTGGTGCTCCAGGCTTATCGGTCCCGCAAGGCCCCGGGACTGCCCACAGGCTCGCCTGAGCTGGCCCACTCCCTCCTCTTGACCCCGGCAAGGGGAAGGACGTGCTGGGGAGGCTGGTCCAAGGGCCCAGGGAAGCAGCGGACATGTCAGGAGACCGGCCAGACCTGGGCCTTGGAGGCTGGCCCGAGGAGACTGCTGGACTGGCCAGGGAGCGGGCTCTTGGTCCTGCGGGCATTTCCCCTGGAGGAGTGGAAAGGGGACGGAGGGGTGAGGGAGGCCCAGGGCCCCAGGGAGGCCAGGCCACCGCGGTGGGGAGCATGGCAGGGCCAGCCAGAGGAGCAGGGCTGGGGGCCCTGCTGGGGATGGGGCAGGCTGGGGGAGACCGGCTGCCCCTCCTGCCCCTACCCACGTGTGCCTGCTGGCCTCCCCTCTGCGCGTGCAGTGGCCGCCCTGACTCACCGCTCCCAGGGTCTGCAGCGACCTGGCCCCAGGCAGCAGCCTGGGCTGGGTGGGCCCGCAGAGCCCCGGGGCAGGTCCGTAGTGTCCGTTCTCAGCGCCCAAGGCGGTGCCCCTGGTCAGCCTGGGACAGGGCCCACGTGTGCCAGCCTCTCCCGGGCCTCCGTGGGGGCCGGGCGGGGCGCGGGCCTCCGAGGCCTCCCTGGGTGTCCCCTGCCTGGGGGGCGGCCCTGACACCCACGCCGGGCTCAGGAGGGCCCTGGAAGCGCACCCCCATCCAGGTTGTGACCTCTGACCCCCATCGGAAAGTGTTTCGCTTCGGGAGGGGGCTCTGCCGGCCTGGCGCCCTCCCCGGTATATCATTAACTTCCCCAGTGGGAGGGGTGAGGGGCCAGGACAGCCGGACACCCCGCCGCGCCCGGCTCCGAGCACAATATCCCCGCCACGACGACAAGATTAAGCACAAGAGAAAAGCGAGGGGCTGCGGGCGGTTCACACGCCCCCGGGGCCGCCCGGCGCCCTGAATAGCGCGCGCCCCTCCGCCGGCCGGGCGCGCATACCTCCCGGTTGCTATGACTGGCTTGCCATGGCCTAATCGCCGACGAGGGGGAAATTCATATAAAATATCGCGGGCCATTGTGGGCCTAACGCGGCGTGACAGTGGCGCACAAAGCCGGATTCATTAGCCCCAGCAGGTAACCGGGCCGGGCGCGGGTGTCGGGGCCGGCCTGGCGCGGGTGCATTCCGCTCTCAGGTGGCTCCGCCTTTGTGCCCGGGATTACCGAGCGGCCGCCGGGAGGGTGGGCCGCGGGGGGCGAGGCCTGTCGCGGGGGCCAACGTCCCGCCGCCCCCGCCCGGGCGAGGCCGCCGAGGAGGCCGCTCGGCAGGCCCCGGGTGGACGCTCTCCGGCGGCCACGGGAGACGGGACGCAGCGTCGCTGGCCCGAGGGCCCGCTCGCCTGTGCGAGGCCGGCCACCCCGAATCTGCCTGCCGTCCCCTCTGCTCCCCAACGCCAGGTGCCCCAGAGGGCGGGGGCCTGTGTGCCGGGGCCCTGGCCAAGGCCTGGGCTCTCCAGGCCCTACCGGGGAGGTAGGCAGGAGAGGCACCCCAGGGGACTCTGGCCTTAGGGAGGTGCTGCCTCCACCCTGGGCTCCCCAAAGGCCCCGCCAGCAGCGTCCACAGGCACACACTCCTCGCCAGCACCTGGGGAAAGACTGGGCCTGGGCAGGGCCGGCCAGCCTGTGGGTGGGGCTCCGTCCCCACAGGGCACCCAGAGCGGTCCCTGAGGGTGGGGCCCTCCCCAGGCAGTCCCTGCAGCGGCTCAGCTTGGAGATGGGCCCCGAGGTGACAGGAGGCCTGCCCCTCCCAGCCTGCTCCTGCTGGTGCATGGGCAGCGCCTCCATCTGGCCTATGGTCAGGGCCCTGCGGAGGCACAGCCTGGCCAGCGGAGCAGTTTCTGAGCAGGCATCTGCGCAGCTCCCAGGGAGCGGTCACCAGAGTCCCAGAGCCGGGAGGCGGAGGGGACAGATGGCATGTGCCTCTGGCAGGGAGGTGGTGGGGAGGCCCGTCACAGGCGCTGCGTTAGCCTCGGCGGGGACATTTGACCTGTGGCCCCCAGCACCACACAGAGGAAAGGCCTAGAGCCAGGCCCACCGGGGACACATCAGAATTGCCTGGGCACCCTTTGCAGAGCGCCCACCCCAGCCGTGCCAGGCAGTCCCTGCAGAGCCTCCGAGCGCCACCAGGCCCATGCCCAGACGCTGGTCACCGCCAGTGGCCGCGCCTCAACACCGTCCCCTCCCAGGAACTCCTACAGGAACTGCCCCCCGGGCTCGGCCACTGGGCTCTGGCTCCTCTGGCAGACTCACCCCAAGGGCCTGCCCAGCAGGCCGCAGCGCCCCCCTCTCTCCAGCATGCGTCCTGCTGGTGACTAAGCAGTTTCCAGCTCTCCCTGGAGATGCGGTGCCTCCCACAGGCGTGGTTGCCTCCTGTGTGAACAGGCGCAGGATGCCTGCCGCGCTGCCCACCACTGGCTGGGGTCAGGGTCTGAGCCTGTTCCTCCTCCGAGACTGGGGGCAGGTGGGGGTCACCTCCTCCCTCACCCCCCGGAGACCTGGCAAGACACCATCCTCCATTTAGGAGGAGCTGCCCCTGCATCCCTGAGCCCTGCATCAGGAGCCCCCCATGGGAGGCCTGTGGTTGGGGTACCGCTCAGGACTCGGAGTGCGCTCTGACTTTCTCTTTTTCTTTTAATTTTTTTTTTAAAGATTTATTTATTTATACGAGCACTGGGGACAGTCAGAAGCGCGGGAGGGTGAGAGAATCCACCAGAGCCAGAGCGGGGAGCAGAGCAGGCAGAAGGACCGAAGTACACTGCCGAGGGAGCAGCGGGCGGCAGGAGAGGTCTGCGCGCCATGTGGGACCCTCCTCCGGTGGCCGGGGAGCAGCCGGGGGTCGAACTGGCGCTGTAGAGGCTGCGGGCAGCTTCACAGACCAGCGCTCAACCGCTGCGCCACCAGGGGAGGCCCATGGTCTGACTTTCTCTTTGGAAATAGTTGTAGACGCGCAAAAAAGCCAAGGCCCCAGAGCCCGCTCCCCAGCCCCCTCCCGGGCAGCCTCGCACAAACCCAGCTGCACCTGTGAAAAGGGAAACACCCCCCACCCCCCAGCACACACTAGTGTGACTGATCCCGCCGGCCTGTCCCTCAGCTCCCTCAGCGCCTGGGGGGCCTTGGGCTTGTGTGACATTTCCTGGCCTTTAGGTGCAGGCTCCGCAGGTCCAGTGAGGGCCTGAGGCGGGAGGGGCATGGCCGGGCCGCACCCCACGCCCCACCCCCGTGCCAGTCTGGGGGGGGTCTCCCTGCCTGCACCCGCTGCGTCTGTGCCTGCGCACCGCTGATGCGCCTGCACGTGGCCTGTTCAGGGGGTTCTCTGTGACTGCAGGGCCTTTAGGTCACCCTCGACTGGGCACTCGGGTTTCTCCTCCAGGAGCCTAAGGCCTCCTCCTCTGGCAGAGGGAATGGAGGCCCGCCGGGGAGGGACCTCCCAGGCCCGCGCCCAAGCTGTTCCCCTCCAAGTTCAAGGAGGAGCCCCACCCCTACCCGCCACCCCTCAAGTGTCTGGCAGCCGGGGTGGTTCGCCCGACCCTGCTCAGAGCCCGCAGTCCCCAGTCTCCTCTCCCCTCCATCTCCCGGGGCCGAGGGGGCTGCCGGAGGCTTCTCCTCGGGAGCTGGCCTTGCTTGTGGGGACAGGCTGGAAGTGACACCCACCTGGGGAGACCCCCACAGCCTGGGGAGGGGCAGTCTGGCCCCCACACAAGACAAAGTAGTGCAGGCCCCGGCTGGGCCTGCAGCGTCCTGGGGAGGTGGCTGCTGCCTGGTCTCCACAACGGGGGGCTTTGAGGGGACAGTCCTGGGCCCGTTCAAGGCAAACTGGACGGGGAGGTGCAGAGAACCAGACCCACGCTGCCCCTCTGCCCTGTCCGCAGCCACCCGGGAGTCAGCCTTCGTGCACGCCATCGCCTCGGCCGGCGTGGCCTTCGCTGTGACGCGCTCCTGCGCCGAGGGCGCGCCTGCCGTCTGCGGCTGCAGCAGCCGCCACCAGGGCTCCCCGGGGGCCGGCTGGAAGTGGGGTGGCTGCAGCGAGGACATCGAGTTCGGCGGAATGGTGTCTCGGGAGTTTGCCGACGCGCGGGAGAACCGGCCTGACGCCCGCTCAGCGATGAACCGGCACAACAACGAGGCGGGGCGCCAGGTGCGTGTGCCCCTCTCCCGGGGTCCAAGCCCACGCTGGGGTGGGGGGCGCCACAGCCCTGGGGAGCCCGGGGTGCTCAGGGAGAGCCGTCCAGCCATGCCTGCATCTGGGAGCCGCCTGCAGTGGGATGTGGTTGGCTCCCTGAGGGGTGGGCTGGGGGTGGAGGGCCTGCAGAAGGGCTGGGGTCTGCTTACTGCCCAGCCCCGGCTTTCCCACAAGGTGACACGCCCACCTGGGGGTGGCCCTCATGGGTAAGGGGGGTGAAGGCTTCCCCAGGCCTCCTGCAACTTGGGGGGAGAGGCCGGCACGGCAGTGGGGACTAGGCCCTGGAGAACGGGCAGGGGGTGAGCTGGGTGCAGTGGCTGCGGCCTCAAGAAAGACCCAGCTGTGGTGATGGGAGGGCATGGGGGGGCGGGGGCAGAGAGCCCCCAGGCCACCTGGAGGGCAAGGCTGAGCTGAGTCATTGTGCACAGAACAGGGAGCCCAAGACAGAAGAAGAGGGTGGGCCAGCACACCATGGCCAGCGTGGCCTTGCTGAAGTGCAGGGCCAGTGGGGAGCGCTCAAGGGGTGCCACAGGCAGGAGCCGCATGTGTAGGGACTGGGAGGGGTCCAGCAGGCTGAAGAAGGGGCAGGAGCAGTCAGCTTCTGACACAGAGAGCAAGGCAACTCCGGCTGACTGCCCTGTGAGAATGTGTGCTCACCTGTGCCCACCTGTGCTCACCTGCTCACCTGTGCCTACCTGTGCTCACCTGCGCACAGAGCCGGGTTCCCACAGGGAAGACGATGCAACACAGAGGGAGAGTTGCTCTTCGTTAAACGCTTCTCAGCCTGCTGGACACCAGATGGAAACCTCACAGCACACATAAACCAAGCACAAGGCTACAGGGTTGGGCCAACCAGAGCTATGTGTGGAGGAAATGAGAGATCTCTGTAGCCCTGGGTAGGCAAAGGCTTCTTAGGTAGGTGGAAAAAGCACGGTGAAGGCAAAACACGGCAACATGGGCCGTATGGAAAGGAGGGACAGCTGTTCATAAACGATATGGATGGACGTCCACACACGTCCACATTCCAACAAACATAAAAGCTACCATAAAAAAGAGCTCTGCACACGAGTGAGGGAAAGATCACCCAGTAGAAGAACTAGCTGAAGGGTGGAGAGCCGCTTCACAGAAGATGTTACAGGGACCCCTCTCCCTGCCCTGTAACAAAGACAGCATAGACATGGCGCGGCCCGGGGCCAGGTGCCGGATGTCCTGGTGGCCAGGGGACCGCCCGCACCTGTGCCCTGCGGGGCAGCGCCCGGGGGCGTGTGGGAGGCTGAGGACAGGGGCGAGTTTGCCATGCTGTGCACTTGTGACGTGTGAACTTTTTAACATACATGCCACACGATACCTCTGTGAAATGATTTTGAGTGTCAAAGGGCTGTCCTGACAGTGCGGAATTAGCTGGCCTCGGAGCCTGGTGCCTGTAACAGATGCCCAAGCAGTTTATTGACCAGAGCAGCACAAATGCCGGGTTGCGCTTCCACAGCCTCAGGGAGCTGAGGTGCTACCTCCAGAAAGCCAGCCCTCAGGCCAGGCTGGCACCCTGAGGGCTGAGGCACACCCAGAGGCAGGCCTGCCCTGGGCCAAGTGCAGGCCAGAGGGGTGCTCCGAGGGCGGCTGAAGGGGCCACCAGCCAGACCCCCTCCCTGCGGGAAGAGGCAGACAAGAGCCTGTGAGGAGGTGACCCTTATTCAGACTGAAGTTCTTGTCCATAAATAATTTTCAGACACACACCACATCCAACACGCAATCAAAGACACCTCATCATGTGAGCTGACGAGCAGCAGAGCCACAGCAGCAGAGCCTGGCGCTGGTAGACACAGTTATTGTTCTCACAGATGGTGTGAAAAATATGCCCGTTCGTCAAGTGAAAACGCAAGCTGGAACATCTCAGCCGGGAATGAGGATCACGGGAACGCCCAGGAGGCAGGTCTGGGGAGAGCCACAGGGCAGGGCAGAGTGAAGAGCAAGGGGCTTCCTGGACGTGGGCTTTCCCGCTGCACCTCCCGACTGCTACTCAGTGACAAGAAACTAATTTTAAAACCAAGAAAGAGACTCTTGAGAACATGGCAAGCAGACGAGGTGACAATGGCAAGAAAATTTTGAAAGTTAAAAGCAGATAAATGAGTACTTGATGTCTTGGTTGGCCCCAGAAAGCTGAGTCTTAAGCCAATAGAGGAAAAATCTGAGAACTCACCCAGGAATTATGAGTATCAGGTGTCTTGAGAACTGGAGGTAAACATGAGGCTGGAAAAGGAAGATTTGTAGAGGTCTATGCGAAAGGCAGGTTATAGCCCAGCTCCTCTGTCCAGGGCCTCTCTCTGCTCCTCTCTTCTGGAGAACATCTGCGGGCGTGTTCTCCGAAAGAACAAAGCAGGGGGTTCTGGACGCCACACACAGTGGAGGCCGAGGCTGCCCTGTTGAAAATGGGCGCCTTGGTATGCATTTCTCTTTCTAACCTCCAAATGCCCCGAGCCAAGGTTTCCCCGGCAAATCGGATTAACCCAAGAGAGGAGCTGCTAAGCTGGGAGTCACCCAGCGTGACCTCATGGCCTTTGCATGGCAGAGGCCCAAGTCAGCCAGTCCCTGCCATGCACAGGAGCTTCCAGTGAGCCTGTGTCTGTTTTTTTTTGTTTTTTTTTTTTCTATTTTAACTACTTTATAGAGGCATGTTTTTTATTTATTTGTTTGTTTGTTTGTTTGTTCTGTTTATACATGCACTGGGTACAGCCAGAAGCGCGGGAGGGTGAGAGAATCCACCAGAGCCAGAGCGGGGAGCAGAGCAGGCAGAAGGACCGAAGGACACTGCTGAGGGGAGCAGCGGGCGGCAGGAGAGGTCTGCGCGCCATGCGGGACCCTCCTCCGGTGGCCGGGGAGCAGCCGGGAATCGAACTGGCTCCACAGAGGCCGCGGGCAGCTTCGCAACCCAGCGCTCAACCGCTGCGCCACCGGGGAGGCCCTGTGTCTGTTCTTAAACAGGAACAGGCAGCCAAGAGTGTGCCACCTGTAAAGCCTCCAGCAACCACAAAGAAACAAGCAGACAAAACATTATAAAGGGAGATGGAAATGTCTGTAACTGTCACTGTTTAGAAAACATTCAGAGATTGGGCCCCCCTGGTGGTGCAAGGGGTTAAGCACCGCACTGTGAAGCTGTCTGCAGCCTCTGCAGCATGAGTTCGATCCCTGGCCGGCCAGGGAGCTACCCACATGGTGCAGCAGACCTCTCCTGTCTCGTCCGCTGCTCCCCTCAGCAGTGTATTTCAGTCAGTCTGCCTGTTCTGCTCCCCACTCTGTCTCTGGTGAACCTTCTCACCCCCCTGCACCTCTAGCCTGTACCCGTTTTTGTATGCATAAATAAATAAATCTTAAAAGAAAAAGAAAACATTCAAAGAGGAAAAAATAAAAGAGGCCTTAGAAATTAAAACTAAGATAGCAGAAATAAAATCTCAACAGAATGATTGACACACCCTTTCCTCAAAGTGAGAAGACAGAAAGATGGAAAATAGGAAAGATTGGAAACCAGGGAGTCTCTGTGAGAGAGAGAGAGAGAGAGAGAGAGAGAGTGGTGAACTGAAGAAGAGGAGGTTGGCAAAGAAACAGGCAGGACGGTGCCAGCAGCCCACAGGCCTCAGACCATACGACCGTAAGTGACTGGAAGACAAAGAGGAAGATCCAGGTCCATTCCTGTTGTCCTGAAATTCACAGCCTGTGACAGAAACTCTCAGGCTTTCCAGGACAAGGTGTAGGTTTCATGCAAAGCACCACCAGTTGAAAATGGTGTCAGTGTGTCCAAGAACAACAGTGAAAGCTAGAATGAAACAGAGAAATGCCTTGAGAAGTTTGAGGGAGGTTTTGAAGCCAAGAAATTTATACCGAGCTAAACCAGCCACTAAGTGGAATCCCAGAAACGTGAGCATCAGAGGCGGCATTTTAGCTCCATGAGGAGCGTGGGGGCTGCCCCCTGGGGCTCAGGGGTGGGGCCAACAGCCACTACAGTCCCAACTGAGGCAGATCCCTTTGTTCTGCCCCTGCCCCCCCAAATAAGGAAGGAAAGAGAACCTGCCCTGGGGAGAAATACACATGCTGGCCAGGACCCTAGCTCGAACAGCCTTATTCCCTTGCCCTGCCTCTTCTCCCCACTCCCCTGCAGTCCTTACGCCGAGTTTCCTGGGCCCTGCAGGTGCTGGGTTCTGGTCAGGGCCATCAGCCATGCCAGCCTGCACTGCCCCCCTCCTACATGCTTTGTGGGGGTCAGTGACATGTCACCTGTTTCAGCCTTTATACCTTTGCTGGCCCAGGAGAGTTGGGAGGTCCTGCCATCTGGGGATTTTGGTTGGCCAAGGGAGGCACCAGCGTCCTGACCCTGGGGGAAGAGGGTGCCTCAGGTCCAGGAGGGGCACCCACTCAGCCTGGTGTCCCTGGAGGCCTTCAGGTGGCACAGCATTTGTGGGGGGCCTGGGGCCAGACTGCAGGTGGGCAGGGACCCCTGGCAGGTGGCTGCAGAGTGGCAGGCAGCCCTGACCCCTCCTCATGCTCCCACAGGCCATTGCCAGCCACATGCACCTCAAGTGCAAGTGCCACGGGCTGTCGGGCAGCTGCGAGGTGAAGACCTGCTGGTGGGCACAGCCCGACTTCCGTGCCGTTGGGGACTTCCTGAAGGACAAGTACGACAGCGCGTCCGAGATGGTGGTGGAGAAGCACCGTGAGTCCCGCGGCTGGGTGGAGACGCTGCGGCCACGCTATACCTACTTCAAGGCGCCCACGGAGCACGACCTGGTCTACTACGAGGCCTCGCCCAACTTCTGCGAGCCCAACGCCGACACTGGCTCGTTCGGCACGCGCGACCGCGCCTGCAATGTCAGCTCTCCGGGCATCGACGGCTGCGACCTGCTGTGCTGCGGCCGCGGGCACGACGCGCGCACCGAGCGGCGCCGGGAGAAGTGCCGCTGCGTCTTCCACTGGTGCTGCTACGTCAGCTGCCAGGAGTGCGCGCGTGCCTACGAGGTGCACACCTGCAAGTAGTGTGCGCCTGCGCAGGGAGGGGGCTGCGGGGAGGCGCTTCCTGTCCCCCACCGCTGCTCTGGGGCCCCGGGGTGCCCTCCCCCGGCGCTCTGGCCTGATCCTGACCCCAGAGGCCCGTGACGCTCCACCCTCAGCCTGGCACCAGCCAGCGCCCTCCCAGGATGCCCCCCTGGGAGAGCTTCCGCCCCATAGAGCCCCAAGACCCAGCTCCACCTGGCTAGGTGGAGGGTAGGCCGAGCGGCGGGGTCAGGGCCCTGGGACTGGCTCTGCTTTGACCAGCCTGTACGAGGGCACGTGAATCCTCTCTGTGACTGTTGGGGCTCTCTCCCCCTCGTCCTCCCCGTCTTCACACATCCAGCCGCTCCCCATCCTGTCCACACACAGGAGCGAGGCTGTGCCCCCAGCCCGTTCCCCATCCTGTCCACACACAGGAGCGAGGCTCTGCCCCCAGCCCACCTGTGCCTCCTCCCTGCCCACGCCCACCCACAGCCCGAGGGGTCTCCCTCCTGCTGGCGGCCAGGACCGCCAGGGCCCTCCGGCCCTGGGCTGCGGGGCCAGCTGGCCCTGGCCTTGTCCTGTAGCCTCAGGATGGTGCAGGGCCCACTTCGCCCGCCCGCTTGCCCAGCCTGACAGCCAGAGACCCCTCTGGGCCCCTCGGCCAACGCCCACAGGCACAACCTGCCAGGTGCAGCTGCCCCAGACCTCGCCTCACTCAGCCTCAGCCACTGTGAACCTGCCGGCCCCAGACCCCATCCAAGGAAGCCCCAGGGCAGGCAGGCCACGGAGTAACCCCACGCCCTGCAGGCACCCGCCTTCCTTGGCCCCGGCCCTGTGTTCTGGTCTCCGAAGTCTCTGCTGCTGCCCGCGCCGCACACTGGACGGCAGCCGTGGTCTCTGCTCTCCTTTTCTTTCTGTGAAAGAACACTTCCGTCGCAGCGCGTGAGTTTCAAACACTGGGAAAGTAAAAACAAAAAGAAGGAAGAAACAGACCAGTCAGTGGGTTGTGCTGGATGCTTGGTGGGGGCTGGTGGGCTCCCAAGGCGGGTGCCCCAGGGCCATGGCAGCGAGGAGGCAGACGGCAAGTCCCTCCAGAGGCCAAATTCCAGGGAAGCAAGTGGACAGCCCCGGGGAGGAGGGAGGCTCCTGCGGTGTGCGGGCAGGGGTGGGGGGGGGGGGGGCTGCCGGCTCCGGCTCCAGTGGGGAGCAAAGTGCGTGCAGCAAGAAGCAGGCCGTGGCAGCCCCAGGGCGGGGGCCCCAAGTCTGGGCAACAGGAGGTCAGGCCAGTTGGCCGCAGCCAAGTCCCCAGGCCGGCAGCCCTCCGCGAGCTGCGCTGGCAGGCCCTGGCAGTGCTTTGAAAGCAGTGGGGTGTGGCTTCCCTTGTGGGGTCCCCCCTGGGCCCCAAAAGACACCCGGAACCTGGAAGTGGGTCTCCTCCTAGCCTGGACTCCTGCCTCTCAGGGGCCAGCCTGCAAGTCCCAGCCGGCGGCCAGCACGGGGGGTGGGGGATGAGGAGATCCTGCGGCTGCAGAGCCACTGCCTGAGGACCCGCGGGGGCTCCCTGCCTGGCCCTGGGCCCCCACACCCACCGCTGACCCAGCGCGGGGCCAGACCAGCCAGGGGCAGCAGCCTCCAAGTGCGGGTCAGCATCCCGGCCACCACTCCTGCCCTGCGGGCCCCCACCTGCCCTTGAGGTCAGACCAGAGCCCCAAGTCAGGCCGCCTCGGGTCTGTGGGGTAGGTGGGGCGTCCAGTCTAGACAGAGCCCCCTAGAGGGCCTGGGAGGAGGGGCGGGGAGCTGCCTGGTGCTGGAGTGGTGGGGGGCAGCGTGGGGGAGGGGAAGCAAGGCAGGGGGTCCTGGGCTGCCATCTCCCCCAGACCCACTGGCTGCACCGATGGCCAAGCCCCTCTGAGGCCAGGGCTGGTGGGCACTCGGCATGGCCCCACATTGGCTCCCTCTCCTCTCGGGGCATGTCTCGGGGTTCAGGGCTCCCCTGCCAGGCTCATCCCTCCTGGGCCGGGCGGGTGCAAGGCAGCAGTTGGGGACCCTGCCTGAGCAGCCCCGGAGGGGTGCGTCTGGGAGCGACAGGTGCCGTGACCCGGGTGCCCGCAAGCACCTCTGAGTCAGGGCTGTGCCTGAGACACCCTAATTGGCACCTCTGGGGTCCGGGTGCAGCTCCGCAGATGAAAGGGCCGCGGAGACGGCGGGGCGGGCGGAGGGGCAGGCGGAGTGCGGGGGGCTGGGGCAGCTGGTGGGGAGGCCCGCTGCTGTCTGGCCCGTCCACCTGAGGACCCTGACACCCAGCCCCGTCGAGGGGAGGGGCGGGGGCCCAGGCCAGCTCAGGCTGCAGCCAGGCAGACACCCCCGGGGCAGAGCTCCAGAGTGGGTCAGGCGGTGCCCCGGGCCAGGACGGCCGCTGCAGTTGACAGGGAGGCTGTCAACTGGGGAGGCTGAGGTGATGAAACCCCGACTCCTGGCTGGCTGCAAAGCCCCTCTGGTGCCGGCCCTGCCCCCCATGTCCCCAGGACCCCAGCCCACTCGACCCCCCTCAGAGGAGGCCTCCGGCTGCCTGGGCCCTCAGAAGCCCTCGCTGGGGGGTTTACAGCCGCTGCCCCTGGGGAGAGGAAATGGGCCTGGCTTCGCGGGCAGTTGAGAGCGGCAGGGACAAGCATATTAAAGGCCCGGAGGTTGCAGGCCCCTCCCCCGCCCCGCCAGCCCCTGAAATCTCACACCCTGGGCCGGGCTTTGAAGTCCGACTCTGGCCCCCCGCCCACCTGCCCTTCCTCTCCCGGCTCCTCCGCTGGGCCCTGGGCCCGGTGTCCTCTCCTGCAGGGGTGCGCTGAGCCCCCAGAACCTCTCCGGCCTGAACTCCCAAGGCAGCAGGTGCGGAAGGCTCCTGGTCCCCAGGGTTCCCCGCTCCCCCACTGGGCCAGGGGTCCGAGCCCCCCAGTGCCCACGGCCCCCCAAGAGCTCCCCAGCCTTGGCCTGCCCGCCCGCCCTCTGTGGGGTGGGAAGGGGGAGTGCGGGTTCTGGGGCGCCCCATACTGAGCCTCTGCCCTCTACCCCAGCAGCCTTGGGGAGCAGGACTCAGGCTCCGTGAGGTGCCCTGAACTCCAGGACAGTGAGGCTGGTCAGGAGGGCCAGAGGCTGAGCGGGGTCCCTTCCAGAAGGAGCCTGGGGCAGGGGAGAAGCTTGGCGTGGGGTCCCACACCCCAGGTGCCCTCTCTAGGGACTGGGGTGCTCAGAAACCAGGAGTCCAGCGGGCGTCTGGCCCGGGGTTGGGGACAGCGGTCACTGTTGGACATCAGAACAAGGTTCGTGGGTTTGGAGGTGCTTTGGGGAGGAGACGCCCTGGCTGTGAGAAGCCAAAAAGATGTGGGGCAACCCGGAGAGGCCGCCTGTCCCCTCAGTCCTGACAAGGCTGTCTGGCTGCAAAGGCCCAGTCAGGGGGGCCCGGACTACCCTGGGGCTGGAGACACGGCCTTCGGGGTTGGCCTGAGCGTCCCCATCCCCTCCGCTCTCCCCACAGCAGCCCCGCCAGCCCCCTGCTCTCTGCTCGGGGTGCCCTCCCCTCTTCCCGCCTGCTCCCATTTCCCTGCGGGGCCCCAGTTCTACCCACACAGCCCCTCCGTCCGTGATGCCCAGCATGGGACGTGCAGGGCCGGGCAGCACACCCGCCCCTCCAGGGTGCCGGCCCCCGCCGGCCTGCCTGCCACCCTCCAGACCAGGCGAGGCCAAGGCCCAGGCCGAGGTCCTCCCACCTGTCAGCTGAGGCCTCAGGCTGCCCCAGCCTGCTCCAGTGTAAACTGGGGAGGGGGTACACTGAGCACTGACACTCCCTTCTCCCCTCCCTCACCCCACCTGGTGACCTGGGCCTCTCAGCCACCTCCTGGGGCCCCAAGAGGGCGCCTGCCCCCACCCTTGGCCGCCTACCGCTCTGAGGATCGGCCCTGGGATGCCAGGCCCGGCAGTGCCCAGGCACTGGGGAAGCCCTAGGAGGCCCCGCCTGGAGCTGCCACCCCCGGCCTGGCAGCCGGGACAGGAGGGCTCAGAAGGTGCTAATTGATGTTTAGCTCCGGCTGCTCCTTGTTCACATCTCTCTCTCTTTTTTTTATTTGAGTCCCTGGAGCACACAGTAAACAGTCATTTGGCTCTGGGGGCCTTGCAAATTGGCGTTTATGGTGTGAGGACCCAGCCTCGTCCACCCAAACAGGGGCTGGGCGGGAGGGGCGGGAGGGGCGGGAGGGGCGGGAGGGGCGGGCGGGCCCTCCCAGCCTGGCCTGGCCCTGGGCCCGCACCCTCCGGGGGAGAAGGCCAGGGGCTGCAGCTTCACCCAACACTGGGCCACTTAGGGCCGAACCTGCAGCCGGGACCTGGGGGGCTGGCGGGGACGCTGTAGTGGATCCAGGAGGGCTTCCAGGAAGCAGCCACGACAGTGGAGCCAGAGGCCTGTGCCCTGCGTGGTACGGCTACTGGCTCCCCAGGCCCTCAGCCCCGGGGAGAGCAGGCCTAGTGGCCCCCACAGCAGCCAGCAGCAGGCCCTCCCAGAGGGTGCCTGAGGGCTGGTTGCAGGCCCGGGCGACAGCTGGATGGGCTCCCCGGGACAGGACTGCCCTGACCGGTGGCTCCTCCCCGGCCTCTGTGTGGAGAGGTGGCAGCCCCTGCAGCGCCCCCGGGGGGCCTGCAGCCAGAGGGTCCCCAAAGCACATGGGCTCCTGCCACCAGTGCTCCCTATTCAGGCCTGGGCGAGAGCCCCAGGGATCGGCCCGTACCAGCCATCCTGGCCACACAGCAAGGCTTCCGCTGCCCCCACCTCCCCAGGACCTGTCCGCCTGGCTCTCGAGCTGGGGCCCCTTGGGCTGAGCAGCAGGCTCTGAGCCGGAAGGCGAGACAGGAAGGGGCACCTGCCGGGTCAGGCGGTCTCAGGGGAGCAGAACTGGGCTCCTCTCCTTACCCCCTCCGCCCCAGCCCCAACCCCCCTCTTGGGCCTGCCCCTCACCCTGCTGCGCACACACCCTGCAGGCCCATCTGGCGCTGGGTTGCAGAGGAGGAGCTGGGAGTGGGGTCCTCTGGTGCAGTGCCCCTTGGCCGTCCATGGGGCTGCCAGCCAGGCCCCCTCTGTGCGGGGCCAGCTGTCTCGCCCGTCCAGACCTGGCTCCCATAGACAAGCCTGCAGGCTTTGGCAGGGCAGTTGGGGGCACCACCTCTGGCCCCACTGGGCTGCCTCCAGGTGCTCTGAGAGTGGCTGGTATGGGCTTGGCTGGCCCCAGCATGGTCCCAGAGGCTCCCTGTGCGTGTCCACCCAGCAGCCAGCCCCACCCCTGCATCGGCGCCCGAGTGGCCCTGAGGTCGCTGCCCCAGGTCCCAGGATGCAGCTCCTGCAGGGAAACTGAGGCGGGAGGAGGGCAGGCCCTCACCCGCCAGGCTTGCCACCGGCTACAGGAGGGGTCCTGGTGCTGGGAGCCTGCGGGAGGGCGGCGTCCAGGAGGACAGGCTCTGGGCCAGGGTCCGGGTCAGCCTGAGGTCAAAGGTGGGCTGGGTCTGGAGCTGGACTGGCCCACCGCTTGCTCGCCTCGGGGCCTGTTCTGCGTGGACACAGCCCCTCAGGGCTGCAGGCGGGCACCTTCCCGGGTCCTGGACACACGGGGGGGCCCTGGGGTTGCAGCGGCATCTCCTGGCCCTCCACCTGATCCTGAGCCCAGAAGCTCGTGAGCCTGGGAGTCCTGCCCATGCCTGCCGGTAGTCAGTGCTGGGCCTGCAGTGGACAGGCCTGGCGGCCTGACAGCCGGGCCCCACGTTGGAACACACGGCATGGCAGGACCCTGGGAGCCGCAGAGCGGGCTGGCCCCCCGTAGTGGGTGTGAGCCCTAGGGCCCTGGCGCTGCTCCAGGCCCTCTCTGAGAGCAGGGGAGGTGGCGGGAGGGGGTGCCCCAGGAGCTGAGGCCCACGGAGCCTGGGGCGTCTGACCCCCAGGGCGGGAGTGGCCCCAGGGAGCAGGAGCCTGGACACCGCCAGGCTTCAGCAGGGCTTTTTAATCAACTCGGCTGCTCAGAAGGCACCCAATTAAGAGGAGAATGCGTGCAGAGCGGGGGGGGTCAAGCAGAGGGGCGGGTTTAATTAAAGGTGGGGGTGCCCGGTGGCGGCAGTGGGGCAGGAGCGCCCCCGCCTGACTGCTGCCCTCAGTGCTCTGGGGCTGGCTGCCTGGCCGGGGCGCTGCCTCTGCTGGCTGGGGCACTCCCTACCGCCTGCACCTT